GTGTCCCTCGCCCACCCGCTGTGCCCTGGATCGACTGGGCTCTGTCCTTCTTTCCCTGGCTATTCCCGGGGGTCTACAAAGCGTGATCCCCAGCCGTGCCCTCCTGGAGTGGGAGCCCTCATCTATGTCCCGCCCCCTAAAGCTTTGACACTCCTCCTGTAAGTATGCCGCGCAATCTTCATAGCCAGGGTTCCCAGCCAGCCCCCGACCACCATGTGTGCCCCAGGGGTCTGCAAGAGCCACGCCCCCTAGTCTTACCGTCTGGAATCACTCCCATCTGTGCCCTGGGGTTTGCAGGGCTGCCTTTCTCCCTTTGACTGTACTCCATTAGCGAAACTGCCCCTACCCTAGTGCATCTCCCTAACGTCTGCAGCTACCCCAGCTCTAGAGGGGTGGCTCTCCCCTTATACCTCTCTGACCCAGCTCCCTGTCCTCCCACAGGGAGAAGCGCTGGGTGACTGTGGGCGACACTTCCCTTCGTATCTTCAAGTGGGTGCCAGTGGTGGACCCCCAAGAGGAGGTGAGCAAGCCCCCCCACCAGGCCCTGCATCTGTGCAACCTCAAGCAAGCCCCTCCCCCCTTGGCCTCCACCTTCAGTCCCCACTCTGAGACCTCCAGTGTAGCAGCCCAGACAGATGTTAACGGTTATCAACAACTCCTCCCCCTTTTCCCTTTTTTCCTGCTCCAGACACCCAAGATCAAGATGTAACCCAATGTATGCATTATCTGCCACATCAGGCAGGGATTTTTGCTTTCTCTATGCCTTAGTTTCCTTATTTCTGCAGCGGGGGGGGGACTTTGCAAGAACTAACTAGAAAGCTGGCTCTGACCTTATCTCTGTAATCCTTAGGAGCGAAGGCGGGCTGGTGGAGGGGCAGAAAGATCCCGCGGCCGGGACCGCAGGGGGAGGGGAGCCAGTCCCCGTACAGGTGGCCCTCTCATCCTACTGGATCTCAATGGTATGTAAGGATCATGGAATTTGGGGAGACTGTGAGGATTGAAGGAGGATACTGGAGGCCTCATGACAACCTTCTTGGCTGTTACTCCTACAGATGAGAACAGCAACCAGAGTTTCCATTCTGAAGGTTCCCTCCAAAAGGGCACGGAGCCCAGCCCTGGTGGCACCCCTCAGCCCAGCCGCCCTGTTTCACCTGCTGGACCTGCAGAAGGGGTCACAGAGGAAACTCAACCCCCACGACTGGGCCAAGAGAGAGGTAGGACAGTTTGCCTCCCAGGAGCCTCTCCTCTGAGTCCTGTTTTCTCCAAAGTTGAGCCTACCAGCTTAACCCTATACCTGTCCCCCCTACCCCTGCTGCCTCCTGAGGGGGCCTCCTTTCACCCCTGCAGAAACTACCTCTAGCTGCCCTCTTCCTCTCTTGTTTTTTAGGATTTGTTGATAATCATCATCTGAGATTTTTGTACACATTTAATTCTTTGTTTATTGTTTTTCTTCCTATTCCTATCTCATGTCAGCTTCCTGAATGTTGGGCCCATATTATTCTTGTTCAGTAATAGGTGCTTAGTAAATTGAGTGAATAAATAATAGTGATAATCACAGGATTGATTAATAATTGTAGGATTAACAACAACTAATATTTATTGAGTCCTTTCTGTGTGCCAGGCATCCTTCTAAGCACTTCACATGTTTTTTTTTTCTCATTTAATCATCACTATAATATAGGGTTTATGATCCTGTTAAGATCCCTGTTCATAGAGTAGGAGACTGAGACCCAGAGAAGTTAAGTAAGGTGCCCACACTCACATACCATTAAGCCAGCATCCTGAGCTTGAGTGCTCCTCAGCACCTTTGTCTTCCACATATTCAGTCCCCTGTCTGGTCAAAACACTTCTCATTTTCCCCTCCTTTGCCAGTTCTGTCCAGCTCTGGCCATCTCATCTCACCCATCTCACCCATCCCTGCTCCAGCCTCCACACTGGTCTCCAGCGGTCTCCACACAGCTACCAGAACAACATTTTCTGAAGTACAAGTTTGACATAGTTATTGTCCTGTTTCTCATCCTTCATAGGTTCCCCATGGCCTTTGATGCCTCTGCTTGATACTTGGGGTCTTCAGGAACTGTTCCCTGCTGACCTCATTGTTCCCTGGCAAGAACTCCATCCACCCCATGGACCTAAGGGCTAGGTCTAGATTGTGCCAAGTACTTTGCTACTATAAAAATTATGGGTCTAAGGGTGTAACTCAGTGGTAGAGCTCTTGTCTAGCAGGCAGGAGGCCCTGAATTTGATTCCCAATGCTGCAAATAAAGAAATTATACCTAGATTTATGGGGCAAATATGCTAAGGGCTTGCTTGTATTATCTCATTTAATCCTCACAACAATCTCATGTGGTAATTACTGTCATTATCTCCATGAGCAGAAGGGTAAACTAAGATCCAGAGAACTTTTAAGTAGCTTGCTCAAGGTCAGGATTTGAACCTATGCAGTTCAGTTGCAGAATCTGTGCTTACTAAAGTATTTGTGTTAATTGTGTTCTACACCCCCCCCCCCATTCTGTTTGTCTACCTAATAAAACCCTACTCACATTTCAAGGTCCTACCTAAATCTTCCTTCCTCTTTGCATCCTGGATGGCAGCCAGGGGTCTGGCTCCCTCTTGCTGCTCCTGAAGCTCTGGTTTATGTGGTTGGTGCCCGTCTGTGTTTGTTTTCCCCTCTGTGCTACTGGCACAGAGTGGCTGCTCAGAGGATGTGTGTTCACTTGACCTTCTAGATCCCGGGGGCACACCTGCAGGCAGCACTGATGAACCCCCAATGCTGACCAAGGAGGAGCCTGTTCCAGAATTGCTGGAAGCTGAGGTGAGAGCGGCTGGACTCCCGGGTCTTAGAGGGAATGGGAACTCTGGGCGATGGGTGGCTGCATCCTGATGTCCTGGAGGGAGATGTGGACCCAAGGACCCAGCTAAAGGCTTAGAGGCTGGGTTCTTGGGACTGAAAAAGAAATAGATGAAGTCTTGAGGACTGAATTAGGGCTGGTTTAAGACCCTTAAAAGTCTGAAATGATCATGGTGCTTTTCCATGTATATATATAAAAAAATCCTAGGCTGGGGGTATAGCTCAGTGGTAGAGGGCGTGCTTAGTATGCAGGGCCTCTGGGTTCTATCCCCAGCACCACACACACAAAAGTGAATCCTAAAACTAGCTTACGAAAGTCCCTCATAAACTTAATTTTTCTCAATGGACTACCTTTATGCATTTTTCAGAAAGATCAAATTCCCCCAGTGTTGCCATTATTTTCAGTGTCCTTCTTAATCTGCATCTTAGTCACCTGGCCCTGGGCTAGACTCCTGGGTCCGGAGGGGAGTGGAGTGGAGGCTTTGGAGAAGGCAGAGGCTAGGAGGCTGTACTCCTGGGTTTGGGTGGAGCTCACGCCTGTCCGCCCTTCCTCTCCAGGCCCCCGAAGCTTACCCCGTCTTTGAGCCAGTGCCACCTGTCCCTGAGGCAGCCCAGGGTGACACAGAGGACTCGGAGGGCGCCCCCCCACTCAAGCGCATCTGCCCAAATGCCCCTGACCCCTGAGAAGCCGGCCTGCCTGTCCTGTTGTCCCAGGGGCCCCTTTGGCTTTTTACAAATAAAGACCCTTTTGTAATTTTGTGTCATATGTCATTTCCCCGTCAGGGCTGGGGAGGGTCTTTGGAGACAGTTTTGTCTCATGCTCCATTCCTCAGCTGGGCTCACTGAGGCTCTAAGAGGACCTTCCTATGGTCACACATGATCAGATGTGCAGTGGGGGCTTGAGCCAGGATCCTGCTCCAACACTCCCTTACCCTGCCCTGTCTCCCTTCACTGACCTTCTTTCCCCTTTACCTTCCTCCTCCCTCTGGGAATCCCAGGACCCTTCTTCCTGCTCAGGCTTCCCCTGGGCCCAGGAATTGTCACAGTTCTGAGCAGTGAGGTCCGTGATTCCCAGTTCATTCATGGGAACACAGGCCCAGATGGATATAGGGGCCTGGGATGACCCAACTTATTTTTGGCCTCAAGAGGCTGCAGCACTGTGCTTCCCTGCCTTTCTTGAGCCCTTCTTCCACCTGGTACCCCTGGCTACACTTCTGCTTGAGTCCTCCATGTCCCCAGCTCAATCTCTACCTCCTTCAAGAAGCCATCCCTAACCCTAGGTTCCATCAGTGTCCCTTTCCTTGAGTTCTCAAAACCCCTCAGGCTTTCTTCCCTTTGTTTCAACACTTATTAGGCTTGTTTTGGGGTCATTGGTCTTTGTGTCTGTCTTGTCCACAGGTTGTGGGCACCTTGAGGACAGAACTGGATCCCCAGCCTGGTCTAGCTCAACATTGGGAACAATGTAGTCATAGTAACTGCTTCATGAATAAGTGAATGGTTTGGGGTTGTCCAGGGGGGCTTCTTTAAGGAGGTGGCATGTGAGAAGCCTTGGCTCAAGTCCTGGCTTTGTAATTTATTATTTTTATGGCTCTAGGTAGGCTATTACTATTCTCTGAGCCTTAGTTTGTTCATCTGAGCAATGGGAATAATAATTAGGCCTTCCCGCCTCCGTGGTTTCTAGGAAACTTCATATCCTATCAGGTCCCTCTGTTCCTGCAAGAGAGGTAGGGTCAGATGTATTAGCCCTATTTGTATTTGTATTTGTATTTTTGGTACCAGGAATTGAACTCAGAGGGGCTTGACCACTGAGCCACATTCCCCAGCCCTATTTTGTATTTTATTTAGAGACAGGGTCTCACTGAGTTGCTTAGTACCTTGCCGTTGCTGAGGCTGGCTTTGAACTTGCAATCCTCCTGTCTCAGCCTCCCAAGCCGCTGGGATTACAGGCATGTGCCACTGTGCCCTGCCCTTTCTTTTGTTTTTTTGTTTTTTAAATTTTATTTTTAGTTGTAGATGGATACAATATCTTTGTTTTATTTACTTATTTATTTTTATGTGGTGCTGAGGATTCAACCTAGTGCCTCACACATGTGAGGCAAGCAGTGTACCACTGAGCTACAACCCCAGCTCCTTATTTTTAATAAAGGAACAGACCAAGGTTCAGAATGGAACAAATTGGAACTTTAACAAGCCATTTAAAAATATAAGGGTGTGGGGCTGGGGATATAGCTCAGTTGGTAGAGTGCTTGTCTTTCATGCACAAGGCCCTGGGTTCAATTCCCAGCACCAAAAAATATAAAATAAAAAATAAAAAGAAAGAAAGAAAGAAGGGTGTTTCCTGTAATAATAGTGGAGCCAGAGGTGGCCAGGGGAGCGAGGCATGCAGTGATGTGACATATTTGTTTCTATTGCTGTTGTAACAAGTTACTACAGACAGTGGTTAAAGCCACAAATTTATTACCTTACAGTACTGGAGGTCAGATGTCCAAAAGTAGACATACTGTACTAAAGTCAAGGTGTCCACAGGGCTAGTTCTTCCCATAGGCTGTCAGGGATAATCTGTATTCTTGACTTTTCCAGCTTCTAGAGGCTTCTGTATTCCTTGGCTTGTGGCTTTTCCCTTCTTCAACTCAGCAGCATGGCATCCTCTAATATCTCTCTCTCTGTCTTTCTTCCATCATTTCATCTCCTCCTCTGACCTTTATGCCTCCCTCTTATAAGGCCCCTTGTGAGGACATTGTGTCTCCCCGGACAGTCCAGGATGCTCTTCCTTTCTCCAAATCCTGAATTTCACCAATCTGCAAAGTTCCGTTTGCCATGTGAAGTAACACACTCACAGATTCTGGGGCTTAGGATATGGCCACCTCAGGAGGGTCATTATTCAGCCTACCATATGTGGTAATCTCAGCCATTTTCTGGGTGTGTGAGTCATGTCATTACGCCCTCTATGATCCCATGAGGTGATATGAGTGCTCTGTAAACTCTAAAGTACCTTGTGTGGTTAGTGGTACAGTGTTAAGGCCCAGAAATCAAATTCTGGGGTTAAATCTCAGCATCTGCATTCATTTGCTATGTAACCTTAACCAGGTGACTTAACCTCTGTTCTCATTTGCCTCATTTTCTCTTCTGTAAAATGGGATAACCATAATGTCAGCCTGGCAAGACTTCTGAGGATTAAATAACACAATTCCTGGAGAGAGAGTCATTGGCTTAGCACATAGTAAATGCTCAATCATTGGCAGTTGTTTTTCCTACTACCCCATTTTACAGATGAGGACACTAGGGTCTGGGGAGATACCATAGACCTGCCCACAAGTGAGGCTAAAGAAATTTTGGTTTTGGATAGGATGTCATTTCTGAGTATACTAGAGAAGCTAAAGTTTGAGTCTCCCCATTCCTGACCATCTCCTGGACACAGGCTCTGGGCAAGTGTCCCCAACCCAGGCCTGCCCCTACTTTCTCTGTGGCTAATTCCTAACCTCTTCTATAAGACACTTCTCCCATGTCACAACTCTGATTTAGGACTGGCTGTGTTCTCCCCATCCCCTACCCATGTTCACACTTTTCTTCTGGAAGTTCTTCCACCCTAAGTCTTGGGCTCTCCCCTTCTCTGCTCTGGATCCTGTCCATCCTTGGTCTCTTTCCTCTTCCTGATCTTTAGTATCTGTTGCCCTACCCTAGTTCTTCCGTTCCTGAATATTCTCCTGCAGTGTCCCACCTTTTTATTTTAATATTTATTTTTTAGTTGTAGGTTAATATCTTTATTTTATTTTTTTGTGGTGTTGAGGATCAAACTCAGTGCCTCATGCATGCTAGGTAAGCTCTTTACCTCTGAGCCACAACCCCAGCCCCTCACCTTCTTTTTCAGTTATTGTTTCCTAATTCCGTGCCTTGAAGTTCTGCCCCCAATCTCCAGACTCAAAAAATTAAATAGCTTGCAACACTTTCACTTCAGTTCAAAACACCCTCGGCCTCATCTCCTCATCAACCATTCCCACTGTCTCCTGTACCCTTAAATGGCTCCCTGGCCCCAGGAGTCTGAGTCCACTTCCCCGAGCCATCACGTCCTAAGTCTTTGTCTTAAATGATTCTCCAGTTGACCCTCTTCTCCAGGGCCACACTGCTTTACTTTCTCCGAGTGCCAACAAATCAATGCAACAACTTCCTGATGGGTTTCCCTGCTTGCCCATGTCCATTGGCAGTGGGCAACCTTTCAGAAGCCTATATTTGCCCATGATGCTGGCCCTGGCCAAAACCTTCCAGTGCTCTTTACCTGCATGCTAAAGTTCATGCTCTGCTGCTTCCACCCAACCCCAGCTACCCTCTGAACTGCTTATAATCACCCCAAAATGTCTTACCTCTTGGGTGTTGCTCATGCTCTTTGCTCTGCTAGAAGCGTCTTGCTTGCCCCTCTGCTCTTCACCTGGAAGATGTCTTCTTGTTTTTCAAATCACAGTTTCCTGGTGGCATCTTTTCTCCTTTTGATCATGCCCACCCACCTCCTGTTCTTCCTTTGCATGGAGTCCCGGGAATTGCCTCACAATGGTCTGTGTCTGCTCACATTTTCAACACCTCCTTCAGGAGGGCAGAGGAATTTCTTTGAATCATAGTGATGTAAATATTGTGTACTTACTGTTTTCTGGGCATTGTTCTAGGCCCTGGGGGTACGGCATAAAGAAAACAAAAGGGCTGGCAGTATAGCTCAGTAGTAGAGCATTTGCCTAGCATGGGCGAGGCCCTGGGTCCCATCCCCAATACTGCAAAAATGAATAAACAAAAAAACAAAACAGAAAAAAATCCCTGCCCTCATGGAGCCTACTTTCAGTAAATTGTGTCCTGAGTTGGAAGTTATGAGTATCATGGTGGCTTAAGGACAGGCATATGTTCTGAGAAATGAATTTTAGGCACTTTCATCATTGTGCGACATCAGAGAATATATTTACACAAGCTAAGATGACTATGATGTCATGAAGTGATATCAACTTTTAGGACCTCTATGGTATACGTAGCCTATTGTTGACTGAACTTTAGAAAAAACAAAGCAGAATTTGGCAGATGTGGAAAGATCACGTTGCAGTTTTTAAATAAGGAGGTCAGGAGATGCCTCACTGAGGAGACATTTGAAGAAAATTTCAAAGGTGAGGGAAAAGGCCATGCAAATATCTGGGGAAAGCGCATTCTACGCAGAGGGGACAGCCGATGTAAAGGCCCTGAGGTGCAGCCCTGGCAAGGAGATCAATATGCCTGGAGTGGGGAGAGAGTGGTAGGAAGTAAGTTCAGGTCAGGTGGGGCCTCACGGGCAGGGCAAGTGCATAGCCTGTCATTCAAACTGGAAGATTTTTGAGAATAAAACCAGGAAGAGTATTAAAAATTATATGCAGATAGCAGGTGAAATCTGTGACAACTAGAATGTCCGGTCATCCTCCTTGGAAACTATTGTTAGGACTTGGGCTTTTGCTTTGGATGTGACAAAGAGCTATGAAGGGGTCTTGAGCAGAGGGACAACATGATCAGACTTAGGTTTTTTATTATAAAAAAGTTTTAAACATACAGAAAAAAGAAGTTTTGAATGAATTGAAATAATTCAGTAATTTAAAGAATTGTATGATCCACACATACACTTGCCACCTAGATCCTGTACCATTTTACTGAATTTGTTTTATCACATACCCATAGCCATCCATCCTATTTCCTTGATACATTTCAAAATAAGCTGCAGACAATTACACATTCCTCTAAACACTTGGTGCACAC